TGTGTGTGTGTGTGTGTGTGTGTGTGTGTGTGTGTGTGTGTGTGTGTGTGTGTGTGTGTTTCATTGTAAATAAAACCAGATGTTATTTTGCTTTCTTGTTTACCTCTGTGCTCGCTTTGAGTTGAGTAGGGTCTAAAATGGGCAATAACTCAAGGAGGCCATTTTTTGTTTTCTGTTGTTTCACGCCAATGACTTCTGCAGAAGCTTCAACGATAATGCTCCTCATCTTGTCCTTAATGTTGTCCTGTGAAAACCCCAAAGAGGAAAAGTTATGGTCAGGATAAAACAGGCTTCTGGAGTATGCTGCTGGTCTCATCTCAGAAGGGCGTGCCTCMTGTCAGGCCTTGAGACAAGCACCAATTCAGTGAAGAACAAAGTCATACAAGWGTTGCTCTCCCACAGGAAGTCAGCCCACAGCTGYTGCTGTGACTGGTCCTCATGATTCAGCAGACTGGCACTGGGTCAGGGTTGATCTCACATGGGAGGACCTCAAAATGGCCATGTGTAGAAGGACTGTATAATGGGGGACTGTCTCAAGGGGAGTTAAGTCATGCAAACTCAATATGACACAAAGTTCTCCACACTATAATGCATTGCCAGTGTGTCTCTCCACAACMTGAGTAGGACTGGTTCCCCCACCCCTTCTTACTACCTTAAATACAAGTCCTGTCATCTATTGTGATGCAAACCGAGATTCTATACTGATACATGATATTACAACACTYATCATGTCCATCTCTTGTGGAAACGGTGAACCCCTTGTCCAGCTGATGCCAGTCATTGAAACATGGTGCACAGCAATGCTGAGTGTTGTCAAAAGTCCAATGTGTGCGTCATAAAAGAAGTTGCAGATATTTTTTGTTTTGTTTTGTACTGCTTGATGCACAATACAACCTCAACAATCCTTCCTTGGTTTGGTTTGTCTTCAGTGATCAGACTTACACATGTCTGGATTCCCTAACCTAAAGGTGTTTTCACACCCCTAAATTGGGGATCAAAATGGCAGAGGAGAAATCTTTTACCTAATTGCACGATGGACGAAAGCAGAACCATAATTTTAATGCGCATACATTATTTGCAGTATTAAAACACAGTTTTTTCAACAATCAACAAGCAGCTTATCTGAAATATCAAAGCAAATACTGGCAAACAACAACCAGTCTCAAATGGCAAAGACCTATCACCCTAACACATCCATCCATCAATCCATCCATCCATCTGCATAGCTCATTAACACCAAAAAAAGAAGTCAGATGTCTGATTCAGAAAGCTATAGCATAACCTGCAGAGGTGGATGCAGGCTTAATGTTTCTGTGTGACTGGAAGAGCCTCTTAAAACCCCAACATTCTAGTCCAAAACTAGTCTTTGTCACACCAAAAAACATATACTTTCCCTTTCTCCTGAAAGATTTGGTGAAATATTTTTATCCAGAGTGAGTCTCCTGTAGGTTTGTGAATAAAGATGTAGATTTTTCTACCTTGTACACATTTGGGAACATTCACAAAATTATTAAAATCAGTTTAGACCATCAGGTTAGAGAATGTGAATACTTACTCATTTACAGGTCAGTCAGAAGAAAGAAAAAAATGCATCAAATCCAGAAACACATCTGGATGATAGGACATGTAGACAGTGTTTGCTAACCTGTAGGCTRCTGCTGTCCAGTCCTGTGTCATCACTGCTTCTCTGACTTTGGTCCCTCCATCATGGAAATGTTTTGCTAATTCAGCGCATTTGGCTGCATCTTGCACTAACCTTATTCTTATTTTCCCTTAACTTTACTGCTCCATCCATCTCTTTCTCCTTTCTTTTCGACATTTGTTAATTTTACCCGCTCTCCTTTCACCTTCTATTTCAAGTTGGGCCAGGCTGCTCGCATTGAACGCTTAACTATTCCACCGGATGAGCCTGTGTGGGTGGTGCAGCCGCTGGAGCTGCAGCAGCGTTTTATGAGGTTGATAAAAACAAAACGAACGTACCGGCTGATTCGGGATGGAACTGACCGACCGTTTGGGAATCCTCCTGAACGTCCTTATTGCCACCACGCCCCTGGTTGTAGGATTTAGCTTTTATTTAAGGCAAATAAGCCGAAYAAACAGTCTTCAACAATGTGTTCAGTATGAGCAAAGAATGAGGCAGAAACACGGAGAAAATTGTTTTTAACACGGTTCTGTTTGAGGCRGTGCACACTGAGTAGGAGCACATCCAACTTTATAGCAGTGATGTCCACTTTATACAGACTTTGAGTAAGGAATATGAGTAATTTTATTACTATTATTACTCAGAATGCATTATGCTGTAGTCCATTTCTTGTTTTTGGAGCAGTCTCCAGTCCGATTGGTGTTCACACAAGCATTCGAACAGCACCAGAGTTCACTTCAACATAAATGTCAACCCCGTCGGACGTTTACCTGTATAATGAGCCTCAAAAATTTGTAATAAACACACGCAGTGGTGGTGGTGGGGTGGTGCAGGCGGACTCTCGGCGGGGGAGATGACAGCACTTGAAAGCAGGAGGAAATGAGTTGGGAGAAATTATTTCTAGCAGCAGAGCAGGTTGAAAAATGGTTATTTTTTATATTATTTTTTAACATCCTACAGGCTCTCACATGTTAAATAAAATTGAAACTGAGGTTTTGTAAAAATCCGTAAACCATGAAAAAAATCCACGAGATTGCTCTATATGTCCACTGTAATGGAACTAATACTTTTATGTTTAAGCAAGATGAACAGCATTGACATGCTGTTCATCTGCAGATAGAATGATTAAAGTCAGAACAAGATTTGCTAACAACAGTCATTCTTAGATATCACTTGTGTTTATCTTTGCGTTTTCCATTGATCTTGTATCAAATCTTGCTAAGATGACATAATGGTGTTTGTTAATATATATATATATATATATATATGAGGCCTCTCGAGTAGTGTGGAGAGACAGTGACAGAGGGAAGCAGAGGCACAGAGACAGGCCAGGTTCTCTGTGTTTCCTGTTGTTGCAATAAAACTCAGCTGATCATCTCATGGAGTGCCTTCATTCTTGGACCACGTATTTCTGTCTTTGTTAAATAAATATTGCAATGATGGAAAATCCGTGTAAGTTACGGACAATCCGTACAACTTGACATGTATCCTTCAACTGAGCCAAGACCTCAGAGTTCAATGATGCATTCACTCCTCCCCAAATGAAACGGATTTTCTATGTAAATTAACTCGAGTTCAATTAAAGCAGACTAAACAGGGCTGGTGTGAATGCAGTCAGTTTCAACATCAAGTTACTGCAAAGTGTACATAATATGACCACCCAGCCTCAAGCAAACCAACAATGTGGAACCTATCAAACTGGTGAACTTTAAGTTCTAGTTACTGCCTGATAACACTGTCACTGAACTTACAATGCATTCCTCTCTGGAATGCTACATTCAAGTGAGCCTAATGACGGCAACTTACATTTGCCCTTGACTGCTCCAGGTTGATGTAAATGTGTAACAAATGTGATTTACCTTAAGTTTGGCTGTTAAGCTGATGCAGCTTGGCTTGTTTTGACCCTGGATGTCCATAGTGCCAATAAACTGGTTGTCAGATTCAGCTTGGGATTCGTTCAGGAACGTCACTCTGGAGTTCAGCCCTTGTTTCTGGCGAAGTCCATCTGCCTCAACAAAGTAACTGATAGCTGAAATGTGGAAATGAAACATGTTAGTATGAACAGCTTAATGTTTGCATGTGTGTACTTTTTTTTTTTGCACGTACTTAGCACTGGGTTGTAAAACTCAGGCTTCCCGTTGAAGGTGAAGCATGTTTCCACTGTGAAGCTGTGGATTTAAAAAGTTCATTTTAACAAACAGAAAGTTTTCTCTGCAGGGTTTGTTTAAAAAAATAAAGGAACATTTACCAAAAGCTGTTTCCACAGGTCGCACGACTGAGGTCAATTTCTTTTGGCAATACTTTGATTTGTTTTGTTATGGTAATGACTGTCCTTGCTCTGAAAAATAGCTTGTTAAGTTAAATCAAAGATATAAATGGGATTTTTTTTTCCACCTGTAATGTGTAAGCACACAGTTACCTGTAAATTACAACTGAATCTGACAGAGATCCTACAGCCAGATCTGGATAAGAATTACCATCCACGTCCATGTTGCCTGTCAGGGAATGTCCAAAGAATTTGATGTTGTGCTTTTTACCTGAAAGGGTCTGTGATGAAAAAGAAAAATATCACCAAAAACTATAACCTAAAAGATAGAATATGTGCCTTTGTAAATGGACCGATCAAATAATGCTCTAAAAGTTGCATCAAAGTTGTCTGAGCTGTGGCGAACTGCAGCAGATAGAGTGGGTTTATTGCAACACTTCCACCATTTACAGTGAGACCAACGCAATCCACAACCTCAATGGGAAAAAACACTTGAAATCTTTCAAAACCAACCTGCGCAGGAGGGGTTTGGACTCCTTGTGCAGATCCATGATAAATGAAGACCATTCCTGTCCCGTCATCTTCCAGTGGAGCTCCAACTGCAAGATCTGTGCAAGAAAAGCAACAAAAAAAAGTTTACTGAAGCACATCTGATCATACAAAACATGTACAGTATAACATGCAGGTAGTTAGCTGTGTTACCTCTGTAAGAGTCTTGATTGATGTCTCCGATGTCCTCCACTGCCAGTCCAAACATTGAGTTTTTGTTCCCATTTAGACGGACAGGAGAGACATTTTCCCAAAGTCCGGCCTTGTTAATGTAAACATAAACAGCTCCACCAATGTCTCTGCCCTTCATATAGAAGTGAGGGGCTCCAACAACTATGTCCTGCCATCTAGATCAATGATGGAAAAGTGGGGGTTTAATATTTGGCAATAATATACAGAAAAAATGGGCCACCGGTGCAGAAATGTGAAATTTTCCTGTGTTTACCAAAACAATAAAGAAATTGTGGTCCTTTATCAAACTCAAAGCCTCCAACATATATATAATTTTTGACTTGGGTAAATTAGGTAGAAAATTTGTTTCCAAATTGTAAAAAAGTCACCTACCCATCACCGTTTAGGTCAACCACAGCCACATCGTATCCAAAGGAAGATGCCAGTCCCGGCCCGTACAGAACATGCTCCAACAAAAGTTTGCCAGAGAGTTCATTTTCTCGTTTCAGCAGGACTACAGCTCCACTGTGATTGGCTCTTGGTGCTCCAGCCACCACCGTCAGGTCACGACTTTTCATGATGTGGTGTCCCGAATCSAGAGAGAATCCTAAAGTTGAAGGCATGTTTCAGATGAAAGTCTTTTGTTTTGCACTAAAACACAAATTTGTACTCTCTATCTTCTTGCAGGGTCACTAAACTGTAGGTCTTATTGTTGCCCTGAGAACAATGTAAAAGTTTTAAATGATTTTCAGGAGTTTTAAAAAGCATTTAAAACATAAACACTTCTGTTTTTGTGATCAACTCTCCCACTTTATAACTTCTGGTTATATCAATTTAAAGACTGCAGGGAAATGATCACACAGAAAGAACAGTATGTCCACATTTTATTATTTACATGTAKATTTTATTGTAGTTTTATGTTATATAGAAATGGGGGGAAAGTGGGGCAAAAAAGAAATAGAAATAAACTTTTTTGTTTTACAGTGTGCAAATTATTCTAAATTTAGTGTGAAAGTCTTTTTAACAATACAATACAATACTAATACTGTCCTATGGTTTCCAAATAAAGAAAATTAAAATAGATGATATACATAATATGAAAAATATACTCACCAAGGTAGCTGTTAGCAGGTACAGAATTGAGCTCATCTGCAACCTCAAAAGGGCCGTCTTCAAATATTTCCATTTCTATTAAAGTGTTGTTTCTTTGGTCAAGTTGCACAATACCTGAAGAGGATTTCAAAGATGGTGAATGGATGAATTTCATAAATCAAAGATGCAGATATTTTGTTGCTTTGATGCAAATGAGATATGCTTCGACTGCATTTCATACAAAGTTGGAAACTCTTAGATAAGAGTTACCCTGCCAGTTGAAACCTCCCGGGGCTCCAAACACCACATAATGGTAGTCCTTGGTGAAAGTGGCTGCTAAGCCCTGCTGGCAGAATCCATAAAGATGATGGTCTTTGTTCCTGCCATCACAGAAGGTCCACTCTCCTCCGTCCGTACCAGAGGACAGGTCAAATGTCAAGTCCTGACTGAAGAGGTAACAGCGCCCAGGAGTGGTGTGAGTATCTGAGGAAAGCTTCTGATAACGATGAGCACATGTCTGAAACGACATCATTTGAATGTGTTCAACTCCATTATACAGTATGAATAAGAATGGAGMTAAAAAACACTGAAGGAAACAGTAGAAATATTTTGCTTCACCATGATCTTTCCCCCAGGTCCCTGACTCTGAACAGTCACACCCATCCACTGGTTCTCTTTGATCTCAGTTTTTGGGTCCTCTGTGGACAAAAGAAGCAAATCAGTTGTGTTATTTAAACAGRCAGCTGTAGTAGACAGATAGGTACATGCAGGTAGGTTTTCACCTTCATTATCAAACTCAACACGTTCACAGCCAGCAGACTGCGTGATTTCACACTTATAAAGGCCTCCAGTGATTTTGGACTTCTGACTGTTTAAAGCCTTGGCTTTGGGGGCACCGACCAGCAACCTGAGGACAAACAAAACAAAAAATGTGAATTTTCATAGGTTTGGGGATAAATAAACATGAACAGGAACAAACATGCCCGTTTGTCTCAATGTTCAGTCAAGCAGTCAACAACTGGGACTGTCTACAGTGAAGAACAATTGGCATCCTGACAGGCGGCTGTTTGAAACTGTTACTACGGAACAACATCCCTGGTCCCTTTCCTGTTGGGGTCCTTTGTTACATACTTGTGCTATTTCACAGTGTTTCCTGTCAGTTTTCTTGTTATCAAGCATGTTTRTTTAAGAAGCACATTCAGGAATGACAAATGACCCAAGTGAAGACAAAGAAACAGAATATATTTCATAATTATTGAGGTAAATTAAACTATAAACCTCAATCTTGTTCAACAGAAGTAATTTACAAGTTCACTGAATWTCAATGCATTGAGTGTGGCTACAGTTTAAATTATCACTTTTCTGTCAATACAGGTTGTCTAAAACCGAGCCACCTCAGAATATTAGAAAAGAAAAAGGGAAACTCTGATAATATTTAGTGTGTATTGTCTGCTTAAATGCATTTATAATTTACATAAAGCTTTTGATATAAAATACAAAAAACATAATTGTTCATAATTGGGACCAGGACAATTGGGATGGGGCCCAAAGGGCAATCTTCACCCAGTTTCATCACATGTACCAACCCCTAAAAACTACAAAGGTCTGAATAACACTATTTCAATATAGTCTTCTTGCATACAGTATGGTGTAAAGTTTATCTGCAAAGACAAAACCGACAGCATTACGATCAGGACTATGTTTCCAGCTTAAATCTGTTGTTGCGCAGCGCTCAGCTGACCGTGCGCACACACTTGCAAGCTGGACTTTATGTACTTGATGCTTATGTTGGTGTAGTATTCTCCAGAAGGCAATATACTTCATAACTATAATGATGCAAAAATGAGAACAAACTCTTGATAATAAATTAATAAAGTATTTAAATGGTGATCACAACCCGTGGAGAACAGTCGGAGGGTTTACACACATGTGCCAGCTCTGGAATGTGATCATGAGCCTGCCTGACACCTGAAAAAAATGTTTTAGCTCTGATCCCATCGGTCGACCAAAGCAGCCTAAAAATAAAAAAAGAATTTAGTATTTTGTGCCACATCTGTCCCAAATCTGTGCGCAACCATCCATTCTCAGATCCACACTGACAGGTTGTGGAGGGGAAAAAAAACACGTCTATAGTCCTTTTACAGGTCCGGGCCAAATGCTCACCTATATTTGGCCCAGAGCAGRTAACTTTTCCTGCCAGTGCTAAATAATTGCGCGGAGTTTGTCATTATTTGCTGTCCAAAAGCAGCTGGAGTTTGTTGCTGCGCTGTGATGACAGATCGCTTTGGAGAAAATACTGCCAGAYGAGGAAATGTGTCATTTTCCTAATTTTCCCCCTCAAAATAAAGTTTGTTGTTAACTAAATTACCTAAAYAGTTTGCATTACTCACCATCTCTTGCATAAAAACACTGGGTTTACAGTGCAAGTTTCTGACCTGCTGTTACAAACTTCACTGTGAATATTATTTACATTACAACACTCGTGTCGATATTGATTCAGGAAAATAATGTCCGCTCCATTCATATTTATGCTCATAAGCGGCTGCTGATGAACTGAAAAATATCAAAAAAAAAACAAAACAAAACAAAACAAAACACCTTATTCATGACTGCAGTTTGTTTTACTTTATTTGCAGCTTTTCCAAATCTGATGACTGTCAATGTACCCACTGAGATTTCCATGTGGCAAAACTGAACGTGTGTGCCTGACGTTCAAGGTGCGTGCGGTGACGCATCCCCATCCGGCGCCACTGGCACATACTGTACATAACTGTATAATGCAAAAGTAACAATGATGTAAAGGTTTACAACAGAGAATACACATGAACCAATATAAAACAATTGTAGARATTACAATAAAGTTGTTTTAAGACATTTGAGTTCTGATTGAATCTACACCCCATCTGGACTAGCCATTAGCTCATCAATCTGATCAGAATTAAACTCCATTCCTCCAACATAAGTAAAAAAAAACAACTGTCTACTAGGGTTGGGCAATATTGGCAAAAAAAATTAATCACAATTAATTGCGGTATTTAGCCGATAACGATTAATTTGACGATTAATCCCCTGGAGTCCCTGGACACCCTTGTTTCGTAGCCACATGACCAATTTAGTGGGAAAGATTTGATCTTTGTAAAAAAAATTGTCCTAAATTGTGTGAAAATTACAGATTTCAGGCTATACATCATATTTTAAATTGTGCTGATAGATAAATAAATTACAGAACTTTATTTTTAATGTTCGTCATATTTGAAGCGGAGAGGAGCACCGAGTGGACTGACCGGAGTAATCCCCGGTCAGTCTGCCTGGTAGCATTAATCATATTAATTGTCAAGTGCCAAAAAGTAATCGATTAATGTTTTTCTGATGATTAATTGCACACGATACGATTATGCCCAACCCTACTGTCTACAACAGGTAAGGTAAAAATTGTTCATAACCTTCCCACATAGTCCCACATCACAACTATTCCTTTAAGATGACTCAAAAAAAAAAACAGCGCTGTGCTGTCATAGGACTACAGGATGTGAGTCACTACAGACGGGGTAGCATCAAAATATTTTAAACAAATGAAGGCTGCAGTAAAGATAAGAGAAATGTGAAGGRCAGGATGACAGTCTGGTGGTTTTGGATATTTAAAATGCATAAACACAAGCAAGCAAAAGAYATCATGTGTGAGCTCATCAGCAAATTCACAAAGCAGGAATTTCCACAAAGGAAGAAGAGGAAACCCGCTGCCCTCGTCTCCTCCCTGTGACCCTGCAGCTCCATCTGTGGCCCGTCTATTGATCTGTGTGGCTCTTCATTAGCTAAACAAGAACTCTCCAGGAGAATGTCCTYGTTTTTCTTCTCAAACAAAACCCCAGTGACGGTTACACCTCTGAGCATCAGTTCAAAGTGAGAAAGAAGATTTACTGCRGAACTGAGACAATGATGAATCTGGTGTCTTTACATGTAAAGCCAAAGTGAATTATTCATGTCTAGGTAAGGAGAAAAAAAAATTAAAGAAAAAGTAACTCACACATTCATCCATTCCTGCATATGCTAACTTTAGATCAGCAAAACCATTTGATAAACTAAATCTGTAATAACTGTGTCATCAAATGAAATCAGACAGCAGATAAAAATAAAAGAATCGTCCAGTGAAGGTCCTTCAAACACATCTTTCAAYTCCAAAGTGTCCTTCTCTATCGCTGACAGCTACATAAAAAAAACTCCTAGAAGAAAAAGTGCTTTTCATATATTAGTAGAGCAGTAAAAAAAATGTGTGCAGCTTAAAAGCAAAGCATCACAACATGTAGAATTTAGAGCATACCTGAGGACAGTCAAACATACCTTAAGGTATTTTTTTAGCTTTCAAAGAAGCAGCGTTTGAGTGCTGCAGCTGACTTTTTGCACCAAAATTTAATGCAACGTAAACTAAAACTCTGGCGAAACAGGCAGTAGGCAATTCTTACTCCTTTAAGAGATGCTAGGTGTGCATTTTTAGTTTTATTCTTCACAATAAAAACTGTTAACTTGATGTGACAGATGGTTTGTTACCCAAAACCATGTGTGAAGCCGTCCAAAGAATCTCACAGTCCGCCCATAACATATGTGAAAAATGCAAAGTATCTGCAGGCTAGGATAGGATTACTGGATGTACTTTTTTCAGATCACACTGTATCGGCTTTCAGAATCAAGTTTGTTCAAGTCCTGGTCCAGTGTGAAACCACATCTCGTCACACGGCACGTCTCAGTGAAGTGTAAATGGGAATGTGTAGCGCTTGGTGTGAGCTCACTGGTCTCTGTTAACAGATGTGCAACAGTGCTCCCACAGCTGTGCACTCAAAGCAAGAAGACCCGCTGCAGCTGTTCTAACTGACTGGGTTTACTCTGATTGGTGCTGACCCGGGAGCGTCTAGACACACTTCACAGAATAAGCAGTGAGAAGTTTGCAGAGCTTTTTTATATTATTATTTTAGATTTAATTGACTTCTCCTTTACCAGACTAACTTCATTTTTAAAGTTTTACTGAGATGTACTGATTGATGTGTTTGGACCGCTCAGGTTACACGTGCACAGATGGCTGTGAATGTCCTGCCCAATGGCCTTTTTATCTGGTTGCAAAAAGAAAAGCCAGATCATTTACTYAGTGTGCTATTCGTTGGAGACATCTGAGTGCCTCTCTGGCCGAGACTAATATGATAGGGAAAAAATAATAATGAAGACGATCAAAAGGCTGTTTTAAGTAATTAACATCTCACCTGTTATAGCTAGCTATTTGAACAACCTCAGTTTGAGGAAACAGAGTCTCATTCTGACCGGCTGGCACATGAGAACAAATATATTTTGGATTTGAATTAGACTTAGTCTTGGTCTCTATTGAATTTGCTGTTAGCTCATGAAGTCAGACAAATTTAAACTTGATTTTTTTTTTTCAAACTGAGGTCATACAAAAACCTATCCACAGAACCACACTTTAAAAAAACTGAGCTATCCTTTTAGGGACTATGTTTTCAGGTATATGACAGAAAAGGTAAAAGT